ACGTCAGATCTACCTAGTCCTGCTTCTAGTCCCTCTAGCACCTGCTCCCACCTCCAAATACTCGAGCCAATGCCTAACTTCTGCTTTGATTGTGTTCTGCTCTGCTCTGACCTCCAAATATCTTCAAACTGCCACAAGTTTCAAGTCTTCCAAAGCTACAATAATATATAAGTTGTCAACTGTATCCTGGCCTCTGAAGTCTGATTTATCAGCAACACATAGATTTCCCCACCAATCTCTATGGTCGTGTTGTCGTAGGCACCCAAATTATCCTTGCTTAAAAATATGTAGTAGCGTGAGCAAGGATCGTATCCACAGGTACTAAAAATCAAAATTTATCAACTATGTGATTAAAAAGGGGGGATTTGATTTAATGATTTAACTAAACTAGAAATTACGTGTCAAAAATAATGTTGACCTAAAAATCTGCTTAAGCGTTGGATGACTGACACGTGGACGGCGAGAAAGTGAAGGGGGTACGCCCAAAAGTGCCGAGAAAACGTTGCCCGACCTGTGGTGGCCGACCTCATTTAGGAAGCCGACCTTGTCTGGGAGCCGACCTCCTGAACGAGGCAACCTCGGGTGCAGGCCGACGTCGGAGCGGACAAGCAGCATTTAATGCGGGTACCATCGACTGTTTAGAGCCCATGTGGAGACATCATTGCGCGAGGGGGCCCCACAGACAGAAAAAGCTGCGCAGATGTCATTCCTCATTAAATGCCGCCGAATCTCCTCAAAAGATGAGCCCCCAGTTACTATAAATAGCAGCAATAAAGGCAATACGAGGATCTTTTTTTTCCGACACATAAATTCTGCATTAAACACCTCGGCTATTGCCAATTTTAGCATTATTGTACAAGAAAAACCGACCTCAATTCCGCGAAATACCGACTTGATATTTTCCTAGATAATTCTCAGTTGTTCATTAAAATCGTCTCATCACGCTATCAATCTAATAAATATAAATATAAAAAAGTTGATCAAATCCGTTTATCAACAAATAAAATGAATTAAATAAAAATGTAAAACAAATAAATGAAAATAAATAAAATATAAATATTTCTTGGTTGAATTGATTTCCACCCTAGATAGTTCCACTGATCATTGATGCAAAAATATAAACTCACACTGATTATTGATGCAAAAATATAAACTCACAACCCACGCAACTGCCGTTGAATATAAATTTTATCTCCTAACGCAAAATAAATCCTTCTACGAGACTCTTATAACTAGTTAATTCCCAACCTCATGAAGAATTATTCTAGCCATAGCATTAAACACAATAGACCGACTGTTTGTACCGTTTTTGTCCTGATTTTTCTTATTGTTCTGTCGTTATTTTTGT